TTTAAAATTCCACTTTAAATTACGTTAAAGTATTTAGAACTATTTTAAATTTAGTTTCCAAATAAAGTTATGAGTTATTAAAACTGTCTTATATATAAAGGGGCTTCTGAAGGTTTCTTAGATAGTTCATCGCTTTGAAAGCCAAATATTAAATCAATTAATATTCAGGCCATCCTTATCTCGAAGCATCTATTAATACTTAATATTACCCTGCTCATTATCCGCTCCCCCATATATTAAGTTTTTATTAAATATTTTTATTTATTAATTAAATATTTATTAAATATTCAATAATGTTGTTTCCATTCTTTTGAACGGAATGGCGTCAAAAACAACAACAACAAAAAAAAAAAAAAAAAAACCGAAGAAACTAATAATGTAATTTTATAAGTAAAGAATTGATTAAAATGTTTTAACATAGGTATGGTAAATTCGTCAACATATACATGTGTATACTATACTTTTTTTATATTTATGTCAATTAAATATATATATATATACATAATTGCTTGGTTGCAGCTATTGTTCAAAATTCATTGATTTTTAAGGAATGTATAGATCAGTTTTAAAACGATAATGGCGTACAAATTGTAAACATTACAAACAAAAAATTATTTATTAGTCCTAATACCTGTACATTAACTGTAATCTATTCTACAAAACTTGTACGAAATAAATAATTACAAAAATATTTCGAATTGTTGAGCATAAATTGTATGGAAGTCATTAGAAATAAATGCATGTTTATGTGATCCGCAACGTCATGCATAGAAGTTAGATAAAAAAAAATTGATTGATCTACTGAAATTAAGAAGTAACTTTTATCAAGAAAGTTATTTATACGTAATTACTAGGTTCGAGCAATTCGCTCTACTTTACTTCCTCCATTGTATTTCTTGTTAATTATCTCTAAAATTTTCACCGTTAACACAAAGATATATTTGCCTGAACCTTAATGCAAACAGAATATCGTTAACTCGGCACAGTCTTTTAAATCTCGTTTCCTATATCCCCAGGATTGCAAATTAAACTACAGATTGTCGAAGAGGTACTTTGTTTCGAGGCATTTTATGTTCTTTTATTTTTTATTTGTAAGTACGCCGAGCGGTTAATATGATAAAGTATACACGTAGTATCGCGTCCATTCAATCTACGATAAACATTTCCTGACATTTACATATCCGTCAAAGATATTTGAGGGCACAGCTAAGAATAATTATTTACGAATGCCTATTAAGAAGTGTCGAAAATTCATTAGCTTTATGAAATAAACAGCAATGAATAATAATTAATAGTCTCCGGTAAAAGCCAAAAGAACAATTTCTCAAGAATCCCGCCTCACCTAATTGCTACAGTACTCGAGACTATTATCGAGACATGGCTAAAGTTTTGGCGAAAAGCTTTGCGTATTATGGAAGCATGGTACGAAAAGTCATTGGAACAAAAGAGAAACAAAAAAAAAAAAATTCGGTAAGTGCGATTTAATGTTCTATATATAATGAAACTCACTGATTTACGTGCGATACATTATATGATGCATTTGGGTCGGCTTCGAAAACTTTGTCTCCACCGACTCTCCGCTGTTTGAATTTTCGGCCTCGTCATGTTTCTCATCGACGCTGCCATCTATCGCTACTTTTATTAAACAATTACAAAATTCAATATATTTGAGAAAGTTCGCTAAGGCTTTCACTTACAAGTATAACATCTACTAACTTCATTTATAAAATTAACTATAAAACATCGCTTTTACTATATTCTTAGATATTATAATGGTATTATCATAATTGCACTATTTTCTTAGATTTTTTCGATGTTTAATATTCAAGGTTATTTCGTAATAAAAATACGAAATAATTCGTACAATATTGTAATAAATTTACCTTATTACATTATTGCGTTAATGAATTAGGTATCAGTATATTTTAAAACTTTTACAACATTATCGTTAATAATATCTTAAAGCTTGTTTATCAAAACAGTTTGAAATATATTATTGCACATACGCAAACACATCGATATGCAGGCACGGGCGCGCGCACGTTCACACATGCAAAAGATGTTTTATATATCCTTTGTATTAGATAAATAAATGACTTATTGAGTTTTAAGTAAAATTGACACGTGAATATGAAATTAATTTTTTACACAAAAATTTCATCGTAATCGTGCAGAAATAAGTGGCGAATGCGCATATAAATAAGTAGGAGTTGGAAATTAATGCGGATTACAGATTTATTGTAAATTGCTCGCCCAATGCTCAAATAAAGTACAACTAATCTGGATGATTTACCGGAATATTTTATTTTTATTTTATTTTGTTTTTTTTTTTTCAAGTCCTACAAAATTTTTCACGATCCGCGATAAAACCCTCGTCTTCCTACAGATGGCGTTACAGCACTCATCGTCGCCCAGTAGTATGCAAACAATTTCCAAACGACCACAATCGCTGTCACATTGAAGGTTATATCTAAGCGTTTAAAAATATAAGAATATTCAAACAAAAAAAAAAAAAAAATATATAAATAAATAAATAAATGAATAAATATAAGAAATACACGAAAAATCAATTTCTCACAAATATCTAGTATTCTTCAAGTAAAATATGAAGTTCGATGGGCGCGGGCGCGAAGAAATTTAGGAACTTTCGGTAAAATGGATCGGAGTCCCGATTCCACGGCCTCATAATTAATCCAACTCATATTTACTAACAACACCTACTGTCGCATTTCCCTGCATCGGAGCACGGCACCGTACGCAACACATGCGCGCGCTCACGCTCCGCACACACCCACGTGCGCAAACGCGCATCCAAACGCACACACTTAAAAAGCAACCGTCGAGCTTGCGCTATGTATGCCGAGCGCGCGCGCATGCGCACGTGGAGGGCTACGGTAGCTGGGTATATAAAATTTACGTAATAGCACGTGACCCTCCACAACGTACTTCTCGTCGTCCGAGGCCCCTGTCCTTAATTCGCCTGGCTCTTTAAAATCCACACGGAAGAATCGACGGAGAATTTCATACGACGACGTGCAATCTATTTCGGATTATTCGTCAATGCTAAAATAGCAATGGCAAACGTATTTTTTTCAGGCTACAGCGGTGAATCGACGTTCGATTCAAGACATTGGAAATCCCTTTGAAAATCCCCACCTTACAAAGCTGTTAATTTTTTTCTTTTTGCACGTAACAAAACAACGAAACAATCCATTTAAGCTTTTTTTGCTTAAGCAACAGTGCTCATAATTAGATAGACTTGATAAGTATCGTACTCGAATGATTATTCTTTATCTTAGTCCGCGGCCAAATGCTATCCGAAGTTTTCGCGGTATAGTAGAATAAAAAGTAAAATATATCGTTTTCTCATTATTTTGTCAATGCGTACGAGATTGTTGTAATCATAATTAAGAATGAAATATAAATGAAGAGAATTTGGAGGGAAAAGTTAGAGGGGCACACAGTCATTGTTACAAAAATAAAAAAAAAAAATAAATAAAAAACAAAGGCAAAAAGGAGAAGAAAAAACATTAAAGTAAATCTGTCCAATTGATATTCGTAGCTACAATCGTCGTCTGACGTTATTGAAATCTTAATTTGAAAGATTAAAAAATATGGCAAATTTTATATTAACGAGCGTTTAATATCAAAATTTAATCTTCTAAATTTACATGAATAAGTCATACTGATATCAGTTGAAAAAATTCAACATATCTAGACATACGACGTGGTTTAAAAATGCTTCGATCGTATCGAAATACTACATTAAGTAGGAAATTTTTGTCCTAGGACGAGCCTATATACAAGCCTAAATAGACGGGGATTTAAAAAGAGAAAGTGGTGTATTTAAAAAAAATGTGTGAATTTTTCTCCCTGATTATCTATCGTACAGCCTTGGGCGTGGATATATGCAAATAAATACGACGCACGACAAATAAATACGTTATAGATAATGCGCAGAAATATGATTGGGACTGAGGCTCATGACATCGAGGACGCAAAACTGCGACGACAATTATCGCCGAGAGGTATTTATAAAAATGCGCGGCGCTTGTACGCTTCACGCTTTGTTTATCACTTTCGCGAAGAGCGCTCCAAAATCTTTGACCGAAGTTCGAATAAAAGTAGCCAGTCACGTCGGGCTGACAGACGACATGCGCGTACGAATCGACGTAAGTCGCCATTGGGCGGCAAGTCGACAATTGCGCGGGCCCTGGCTCGCATAGGCACGTTCCTGATTGCGCTTCGCACTGCGAGTGGAACGAGGAGAGAAAGAGCCCAGGCCAGTACTGGGCCAGACGTGCGCGTCGGCCGTATATTCCGAGCGAATTGGCTTATCTGCCCCCTCCTCCCAGACCCTCCGCGTCGCTCGCTTCGCGCTCCGGCTTCCGGACACACTGACGTTTCACCAAATCTGTCAGGCACGGCGATCGCGTCTTTTACGGGCGAATAGCGAACATCGGAGACAGACAGCAGCAGCCGCCGCCGAGTCCGAGCAGAAGACGGCCGCCACTACCGCGCGCGGACTTGCGAGTCCGAGCAGAAGACGGCCGCCATTACCGCGCGCGGCCTTGCCGTTTCCCGTGAATAAACGGTGTGCGCGCGCCTTTCTCGGCCCTCGCGACTCCCCAGTGCCAGGAAGAGAGAGAGGGACGTACATACGTACGTACGTGAAGAGCTTCGGGAGTCGTCGCGGTACCGTGCATCGACTCGCCCAAGACTTTGCTCCTCGAAGAAGTTAAGCCGAGCTACGCCGCGACTCCACGGCCTTCCTCGAGCCTCCCGCCACTCGCCCCTAGCTTCTCTCTCTCTCTCTCTCTCTCTCTCTCTCTCTCTCTCTCTCTCTCTCTTTGTCACTATCTCGCTCTATATTTATCTATCTATCCCTCTGTCTCTGTGCGTGAGCCTTACGTCTCCCTTCCTTCCGCCCTCCCTTCCTCACTGTCGCTGTCACCTTTTCTCTCTCTCTCTCTCTCTCTCTCTCTCTCTGTGTCTCGCGATCTGTCTCCCAAGCGTGTGCGCACTCGTGGAAAAGCGCGCGTTGCGCGGGCCGTAATCAGTCGCGAGCAACCGTAGGCCAGCGGCCCACCGACATTGAGGTTAGAAAGAGGGAGGCTCGTGTCTCGAGGACGAGCCCGACCGTCGACGACTACGCGAGGAGGTCAACCAGAGCCAGCGCGAAGGACGGGACGACGTAAGGCCGAGAGATGGAGAGCCAGGCTGTGATTGTCATGCTCGGTCTGCTATATTTAGCCTGCACCCTCGTCGAGGTGCATTCAGGTAAGTGCGCCAGCGGACGATAGCCGACCGCGCCTCTCGTGGCGAAGTCCGCGTTCCTGGACTCTAGCTACCCCTCTCCGTCCCTAACCACCTCCCCACCACATCGCCTAACCCAACTCCCACCTCTTACCACATCCCATCCCATACCATACCACCCCCCCCCCCCCCCCCCCCCCCCCAATCGCCATTAAACCGGCGGTACGATGTAATCCGCTGGTGTTTATCCACTGGAGCACCGTGGCCCCGTATTACTTATGCCGGTGCGGCTCTCGATCGTTGGCTCCCATTATTATATAAACGCTGAACAGATCCCCTTCTTCGTCTTTCCCTTCTTCATCATCTTCATCTTTTAGCTACGTATCTTGGTGCCCGAGCTTGCGAGCTTTAGTGCTCCCGAGCATCTGAGCTTCCAAGCTCCAAGCTTCGTTTATTGATTATTGGCTGAAATCAATCTTGATCCTGGGGATGGAATCTAATCGCTCGCCCGATATATTGTCGTCCTTAATCAAATTGTAGATGCGATCACGAGAGAGCAGTGTTTACTCGTCGCTCTGGCGAACGCGATATTTCGTCTTTATCTTATCTTTGCCTCTTTCACAATCAACCCCCCCTCCCTCCCTCCCACCCCTTCCATCACCCCATTACCTGCAGTGGTGTGGAACATTTTTTTTTGCACTAATTAAAATGACGGGAAAAAATATCGGCTCGACGAGGGCCGATCGCTATCTTCTTCATTTGTGCATTCGGCGAGCAACGATCGATCAGGCATTTGTATATTATCGAAGGCGAAAAACTGCGCTACGGCGAGCGAGCGAAAGAGAAAGAAATCAATGTCTCCTCGTCTTCGGCACTCGCGACGACGCCTGTCCGCCCTTGACAGAGAAGTGTATTTAGGGAACGAGGGGAAGTGCGGGTATGCGAGCGCGCGCCACCGCAGTCACGAACCTCCACTCCACGAGTGAATTAAAAAAAAAGTTTCCATTATTTGAGTGTGTGGGAGTGTGCTTGGGCGAGTGCGCACTTGGCACACCCCACGCATGCGTCGCGAGCATTTGGCCAACTTGCGTCGTTATACCAAGCCTATTCGGTATATTTTCGATATTTCCACATTTTACTTTTGTTTTTTCTTTTTTTTTCTTTACAATTTTGTATCTCTTTTGATTCGTCGCTGTCGTCGTTGTCGTCGTCGTCGTCGTCGTCGTCGTCGTCTTCATCATCGTTGTCGTCGTCGTCGTCGTCGTCGTCGTCGTCGTCGTCTTCTTCTTCATCATCGGCGTCGTCGTCGTCTCGTGCAATCACACCACAAAGAGTTTATTAAAAGGCTAAAACTTCTTTTCACGGCGATGACGACCTCGACGACCTACGAGCTTTTACTCTCTTTTTACACCCCTCCACCTTTCCACGAGATAATCACACTTGTTTATATGTACAGCGCTCACTTTGCTATATTCTAATATAGCCAGAGACTCTTTCAGCGTAATGAAAATTCTGAAGTACTAAGCTCTCGCTACATTATCATAAATGTTTCTATTTCCTACCAAGGAATTTCTCTTACCGTCCTTAAATGATATTACTTTTGCACAACTTTCGTCCATTTTTTTCTTACACTTCTCGCTTTTCAAAGCATAATCCTCCCGACGCTTTATTTATTTATTTATTATTTACCACGAATTCTTCCAACAAGCAAAATCACTTTAATATTTATACTCTAAGCTTGTATTTTTCACCACACTTAATGGGCCAATTTGCTTCTTACGACGCTTCGAAATTGCAAAACTTTGTATTTGCGGACGATAATTTGCCGTTTGTTAATTAATAATACGAAAAAAAAAAAAAAAAAAAAAAAAAAAAAAGAAATGAAGAAGAGGAAGAAGAAGAAAAGAAAAAAAAAGAAATTTCACAATGCTCCATGCGAGCGCCTCTGCATTTATAAACGATTATAAATGTCACTACTGGAAAGAGAAAGTTTTACAATTTACATGTGTATTTATTCGTTGTTTCATTTACATGTGTATTGTTCGTTTAAATTGTATAATGTTGGCCTTACTTTTAATTGACTGAATTGGATCTATGGGTCTGAGAACAAGCATTCAAAAAATTATTTGAACAACACGGAATTCTCACTTTAATCATGAAATCATACAACTGCATTACTAAATTACTAAAAAAAAAAAAAAAAAAAAAAAAAAAAAAAAAAAAGTGATATAATAATATTAATAATTTTTAATGTAATAGCGATAGTTGGACAATAATATGTAGATTATAATTTTTTAACCTGAATTTAATTGAGGATCAATACACAAATACTTGTCACGATGAACGAATATTTTGAGAAGAAGCATTTATTGGGAAATGATTCACAAGTATCAATTTAAATAAATAAAAAAAATGGAAAATGAATGCTTCTTCAGGTCGATAAAAAAAAATTTATATAACAACGAGTCGTAACGGGTGTAATAACTTCAATTCTTTTCTCATAGTCGCATAATAAAATCTGTATCAACATGTGTGTTTGGCCGCTAACAAGGCCTATCTTTTACATTCGCATCTGCATTTCAAATAAAAAATCTTTCGTTCTTCTGCATAAAAGATAGATGAGCTGGATAAATTAATTGAAAGTTAAATAAATGTTTGAAAAAAAGAAAGAAAAAAAAAATCCAAATTTTTTTTCAGATTTTCTTGAGTTTTTGTTGTTGTTGTTGTTGTTGTAATTTAACGTTTGAATAACGTTGAAGTTTAATACAAAATATTTGTAATTCCTCTTAAATTCTCTCACTGACTTCCGTTTAATCACAAAAGATATTTTACTCAATGTACTCACTGTATTCGTCCTCAAGTCATTTACACGATTTTTGCCTCTTGCGGTGAGGCTCATTTTCCTCGAAGGTTTTCCGCGTGTGCGTCAGTGGCATTTGACAAAATCAAACAGCATGCAGCCTTACAGTGTCGGAGAAACAAAGATTGGCTCTCAAAAATATCGCCCCTCCCCCCTTTATTACGATGGCCATTCGATCCATATTCATTCAATTCTTCATTCAATTATTTTCATCACGAAAAAGTCTAATTGTCATTTATACTCATTAATCTTGACTTAATTAATCTTGATTGCGTACAGTTGAAATACGAACAAATGCAAAATAAATATAGACGACGATGACTGTTAAAGTGAGGTCGTCATTGTAAGCGCTGAAAATGTATATGAACGTCCAAGTTTTATAAACTATACGTGGAAATACAAAGACGAGATAGCGATAGAATCGAGCGACTCCGGGGATTCAAGTAGAATGAGACATTCGCTCGTGACATTTCAGGGAATTTCATATATTATCTTTTCGTACTGGCGTTTCGTTCGAAACCATGGTCAATCGAGTCGTTTCGTTGGTCATTTATAAGATTCGTATCTCGATAGAATTTTATCTTCCTATCTGTCTTAAAGAGATTGCTCGTTGCTTTATCAATTGACGCACGCAATAACGGAATAATCCTATAGAGGACATTTGTATCTTTCAGCTCGATGCATCAACTCAATTAAATGGAAAATAAATTCATTCGAAATTCACTGCCCGTACTACCACCACCACCACCTTCTCCTCCTTCTCGGCCATTTAACCTCTCACATCTCCATAAATCTCTGCACTCTCGTCATCAATGATTTTATCAAGGTGGCGACTTTTAATGCCCGAGGGAAGACAATCCTCGAAGCTCATTATCTCACACAAAACATACAAAGACGGACGCACGAGTCGGCAAATGCATAGGAGATAAATGCATTAATTCGATTAGCCGTGCGACTTGGTATAATCATCTTGTCCGTCTGCTATCTCGTCGAGGCTTTTCTCCATTGTGTCAGGCTACGTCATTCTTTTATGCGTCATCGACACAGCGACGCCCGTTTTATTTGTAACCAGTTTTATTTAGAGCTACAGAGCCGACCGGGCCATTGCCACTATTTATCGTGAGAGAGACGGGCACACGTGACACGCGCCTCCCCCCCCCCCCCCCCCACCCCCCACCTTCTCTCTTATATACACATCGCATTAATAGCCCTATTTTATAATATACTTAAAATCGAATTTTCTTTCGACTTTGTATGGAAATATTGTCATGCCATTGTCGTAACGAGACCTCTTACGTTACTGCCTTCAATTTGCTGCGCTCGCTTCAATTTTGCTTTATTTATGAATTCATTAAATTCTTCGTCTTCTTTTATTCATCTTAATCATACTGCTGTTTACCGATCGCATTGCATGGCGAGCGCGTCTTTGTTTATCATTACTTTGAAATCCAACGAATTGGATGACGAGCATTTTTGAAGAATCTATTGTTTTCAGATTAATGTTTCTCTCTCTCTCTCTCTCTCTCTCTCTCTCTCTCTCTCTCGTTTTCTATCTATATCGTACGTAAATCGCAACACAATGGAACTACAATTATTTGTCTATAATATGTTAAATTGTGTTTACGAAGGGGAATTGCGCTCTTAATACGAAATTTCCTTCAAATGGCCGTATGTTGTATCTTACATGATGTCCCCCCCCCCCCCCCCAACCCCAACCCCTCACCCGCGCGTAGCTATTAATCAAACTTAAAGAAAATTGTTTCCTTCGCCTAAACGGTTTGCCACAATAATAAATTTATTCCAATCTTGAGATACGTTGATGGGATGGTTTATGACTAAATTGTCATAAGCGAAATTCAAATATTTCATTCTGTTATCTAGTGGAGACGTTTGAGGTTGACATTTATGAAAGAACTTATGCCAAGGAGACCAGACAAATATTTTCACGAGGTTTAAAATTGGATATTAAGAATGTCTCTAGCGCCACAATTTTCTAACATACATTATTATTCAAACAATATCAATGAAATAGGAATGAAGCATTTACTGTTTTTTTTTACTTTTTTTTTTTTTTAACTTTTTTTTTTGTTTTGTTTGGAAGCACAGAGGTCCTGAAAAATGAATACGGTGACATTGGCTAGGCGCCTAAGCTTTGGACGAGAAAAGGACAGCGATATTCGTATATGTTTGATCTGCAAATGTGCATGTCTATGCATGTGTTCGTAGGATCGCGCGATGTCGTGACATCGTCAGTTTTTTGGAATATTCATGCGTTCCGTCATTATAATGATAACGTGACATTGAAGCTTATTTAATAATATGTTAGCCTTTTTGTTAAGCATATCAATGATTTAATGACGTTTACGGTGGAAATTCATTTGAATTTATTCGCTTGACGAAACGTACATTTTCATATAAAGTTTTATTGGTCTTTCAGTCGCTATTTGTCATTCGATTTATAAATACGTCGTAAGATTCTTGTTCTTATCAGATATACCGTTCTGTATTGATTTTTATAGATGTTATGCTTATATGCTTGCAGAAATAAGGGATAGAAATGTTGATTGCGCGTGGCTGGTTTGCATTGTGCTGAATTTTCTTTATCATTGCCGCGGAGCAACAAGCACCTAGATTTATTTGCATAAAGATGAGGATGCTTTTGTGCGTGCGTGTGTGGTTGAGAGAGGAGAAGGAGAAGGAGGAGGAGGAGGAGGATGATGAGAGGGTGGGGGGGGTGCATACATGTATGCGCGTACATATACATATACGTATTGAAAGCGAATATTACGTAAGCTTAGTAATATTGCATTATAATTTCCTTAAGGCGTGATCGTCAAAATTTGAAGTATCCTCGTCTTGGTGCACTTTTTAAATACGAAATTTCTTGATAAATAATTCTAATGGAATATATTTCATTTTTGAACAATAGATAATGGTGAAACAGAGCTGAATTGATTATACTCTTATCTTATGGATATTGGTCTGCAAATGACAAATTTACGCTTTTCTATTTTTCTTTATTATTTTCTGCTTGCACGGAATAGTGGAACGTAGAGCTCTAAGATATTGCTCATGGAATGTTTTCAAATATTTCTTCCTTTTCTTTTCTTTTACTCACTTCAAAATACTTTTATTTATACTATCCTCAATTAAATGAAGTCCCCACAGATAAAAATGATAGCAAGGAGTACATTAAACCGTTTGTGAAAATAAAAGAAAATTGTTTAAACGCCGCACGCCGAAAACGTCAAATTAACATTGAAAAACGTGCTCGGGAGCGTCGGAGGGAGGGGGAGGGGGTAGGGGGGAAGTATCGATCGCCTAGTCGTATTTTGCGGCTAAAAATGAAGAATCAATATGAAAATAGGGATTTTTGCTATTGTGATGTATTAAGTGGAGGGGTGGGCGGGAGATATATTTTATATGCTATATAAATATTTCGCTTATTTGCAAAATAACGAAAATAAATGGAAACATCGATAAAAACAACGAGGCTTTTTCTGCGTGCGGCCACAACAACTTTTCGCTAAGGATTATTGTTAAAATCTATTTTCAACTGATCCGCGATGGAGATAAAATTCGTGAAGGTATTACTTGCATAAAACACGAACGAGTTCCGTAGATAGCCATTAGCGCTTTCAATAATCGAAATCGAAGCTAAAGGCCCTCGACTCGACGAACGATTTTCAAAGGAGCGTCGTCGTCGTAATCGTGTCCTCGTCATCGTCATCGTCGTCGTCGTCGTCGTCGTCGTGTCTTTGCTTTTACGACCATCAAACGCACACCGCTGTCGATCTTTCGTCAAACGTCGAAACATCCCAGTCTCTCCTGACTCATTAGCTATTTTTTATCCAGAATGCGTGAGCAAATGCGAGAGAGCGAGTGAGAGAGCGAGCGAATGAGCGAGTGGGGTGAATGTGACGCGTTGAAGGGTTGATGATGAGGGTTGGGAGCACGTGTACTTGGTTGTCCGATCTCTGAATCAACTGTTGTATCATCTGTTGGTCGGCAATAAAGTGAAGTACATGGGCGACGCGTTAGTGCGGGATGGCCAGCCCTGGAGCATCACATGCAGCGAGGTACCGGCCGGGGCGACGATCATGTGGAAAAGGAACGGCCAACCTCTGGTCGAGGACCTCGCCAGTGGCATCATGCACGTCGAGCCTGCCAAAGTTGTCAACGACTTCATAAGTAGCACTCTCGTAGCCACGACCTCGTTGGAGAGACACGAGGGCTCGTATGTGTGCGCTGACGGCAACGAGACGCACCACCTCGCCATCGTCTACGGTTCGTCCAAATGCCCCCCAGACACCACCAGCCAAATGCATCCTACTTTCCACTACGCCACCCCAACATTTTTTTTGTTGCGCCTCTGCCTAAAATTTTATTTGTCTCCATGCAAAGTTATCATTATCATCATTATCATCATCATCATCATCATCATCATCATCATCATCATCATCATCATCATCATCATCATCATCATCATCATCATCATCATCATCATCATCATCATCATCATCATCATCATCATCATCATCATCATCATCATTATTATTATTGTTGTTGTTGTTGTTGTTTTTGTTGTTATTGTTATTGTTATTATATTTTTATTATTATTATTGTTATTATTGTTATTAACGTTGCTGTGCTGTTGCTTCTGTTTTTGTTATTGTTATTATTTTCGCCCTTGTTATTGTTAATATTATCGTCCGTGTTGCCGTTGTTGTCATTGTTGTTGTTGTCGTCGTTATTATTATTATTGTTGTTGTTACTGTTGCTGCTGCTACTGCTGCTACCGTTGCTTTTACTGCTGTTGTAGCTTGTATAGACAGACGACTATGACATTATGACGTCGGCTTTTACCTTTGTCACGCTCATTTCAATTTCTAGGGGGTGGAAGGTAGCCCTTATTTCGCATGTTTGATCATTGCTTTATCAATAATTAAGCCAACATTACACCACCAAGATAAACGGAATACTTAGATTCACGCATCCATGCGCATAGGGTACGGGTGACCGTCGTTCGTGCGCATGCGATAAGTAAAGATCATAAAACCATACGCCGAAGCAAGATAATATGCCGATATTTTATCTTCCGTCTTTACCCCTCAAACATTCGTAATTTGATGCATAAAGTCACGTTATGACTCTTAAAATCATTTTTATAATCGTTGAAATGAGCTCAGCACTTAACTTTACTTCCAGTCGCGCACTTATATGTTAGCCCACAGTTTGTAAAATCAACGCGATTCTTATAAGCGTTGGCAGCGCGTCGTTGTTTTATTATTTCATGATCACGGCATTAAGGCGAGCAACGCTCGACTTATCCTGCCCTACACTATTCATGAAACCATGTATAATTACGTATGTTTAATAGTACGTGTACGCGCGCTCGGAGGTACGCACACGTGGGCATTTAACTATTAAGAACATGTTCTACGGAAGATAAAATACTAATAAAATTAACATTTCACGCTCCCTTAAACGCTTGGTGCTTGTTTACATATTGCTTGATACGCGGTTAATTATTATCTTTAATTCAATGACTACGGCTAATGCGCTCATTTATGTTTGCTACTGAGTTTGCATGTTAGCTTTGTAAAATGTTTTACCATCGCGTTAGTCGAGGGAAGGAAAAAAAGAGAGCTTCAAATAGATTTAAAACCGGGGTCGAAGGGCTCATAGAGAGGAGATAGCTTAGCCATATTTGCGGGCTTACCAACGAATTCGCTTTACACAATATCGTTTTTCAAGTTTAAATTTTTATTTGTAATAATGGGAGCTTTAAGAGGAGTAAAAGGGTCGCCAAATGTTGCAGTATTTACTTTATTAAACGGAACTTTTTATCGGCCGTTGTAGGGAGGGTCGCGAGTCTCTAAGAGCTTACTTACTTTGCAGCCTCAGCCTCGTCCTCTTAAAATCATCCAATATTTACTCCGTTATTCTTCTTGTTGTTCGTGTATCCACTTTGTCTGTAGCATAAATTTATTATGCTTTTGTTTTTCTGATCTTTTTTTTTTTTTTTTTTTTTTTTTTTTTTTTTTTTTTTTTTTATTTTTTTTTCCTTTTTTTTTAATATTTTTTCCCTTTTTCTTTTAGTCATTTCTTTGTTGTTGTTGCTGTAGTTTTTAGCGTTGTTGTTGTTGTTGTTGTTGTTGTTGTTGATCATTATTTTTTTATTTTTTTATTGCGCATTGTATCATTTGTGTTTTGCAGTTTGCTCTTAATGTACGTGGCTTATTATTTATTTTATTTTTACAGCTACACCGTGCTTCAAATAGAAAAAGTAACTTTTTATTTTTAACTCTTTATTTTAACAATCAGTCTGTCAGTTAGTGATAACTCTTTCGAGCAATTACACAAATATCTTATTAATTTACAAATGCTCTTTTCTTTTTTTATACATTTGAAAGAGCGTGCCCCGAACAAAACTACAATATTAATTTCTTATACGATAATTGGAATCTATTTATTTTATGAATGTACAATCGTTCCAATTTATACGTCGAAATCGATTAGCTATTTCAGCAGAAATTTCAAGAAAATAATATATACCAATGGAAAATCTTCATATTACTAACTTTAATATTATAAAGGCGATATAAATAACGGGAGTCTTATTGTTAAAACCTATTAAGAAATAGTTCCTTCTATTTTCCATTTGTGAAATACGTGAAACACGGCAAACAATTTATAGCATGTGTCAGTAAATAAAAATTTTTAAATTTAAACAACTAAATGTAAATAATAGAAGAAGTGGGATTATATGAGAGAAATTAAATAAAACATTTCGGAGTAAAATGTCATTGCTAATAATGGTATTTAATGAGACGGGTAAATAGGTATATAAAAATTATAAAACACGTGTTCTTATTACCGGATAGTAATTTCCAGCAGCCTTTTGTGTATAAAACGACTTTCTTCGAGTCAATAATCATGTGAACGTATGCAATGACTTACCAAGTATAACAATTTTACATACAACTTAAGCCTTTGCAAAAAGTAATCTTCTTTTCAAAAATATTGTCTAATACGATAAAAAAAAGCCTGTCACTTTTTGTAACAAATCTAAATACCTCGTGAGAGGTATTATGTCTACGTTAATATATACGTTAGAAATGCAGAGATATTTTTAACTCCGTCGTATCATTCGGACAATTTAATCTTTCCTTTATCATATTTTTATATATCCGTGCACGAATATAAATGATTTATTTGTATATTTCATAATTATATTATAAATTAAAACCTAATATTGAAAAGAATAAGAGAAAGTAGTAGCTTTTATGATATATTAGGACAAATTTATTTTTAAAATATTTAAGAGTTAATAAAATATAATTAATTGTAAAGATATTAATATTTATATTTTGTATACATTGAATTTTATCGATTGCATGGTTATTAATATAAATGTATGAATAGTTGCTAGATGGGGGTATATGATTTTTGTTTTTGTTTTTACCTTATTACACATTACAAATTTTCTGTTTTAATTAATTAACGATTGAGAAATAACAATTATTTAATACATTTTGAGCATATAGGTATGGCGATTTAGTCAGTTTAAGTATGTTTGATCTGATTAAAATAATTAAATTCAGCAAATGAAAATAAAAATATGTTAGGTCGAGTGTTCCTTCAAATATCTTATTTTAATTAAATTGCGCAAATTATTAATAGACGAGAACAGAAATATAGAGTGCTCACTGCATAATGCAATGAAATTAATTAGTTTACTTTTTTTAATAATGAATCCAGTCAACAGGAAGCAATATTGTATAACTGTTGATTTATCGGCAAAATTTTGTGAATTCCTAAAAGTTATATTTGTGGTTATGTAAATTTACTGTTAAAATAACAATTAAAATCATACTGAACTGAAGTTTTCATTATTCACGTACATTTTTCATATATTTTTCTATTATATACTCATCTATGAACTCATAAGCAATGGATAAAAAAAAATTCATAGATTCAATTAGAAAAAAATTCCTAATAAAACAACAAAAATCGGCTTATAATTATCTACGTTTGTTTATATTTACGCTATTGCCAAACGAACAATCGAGGATTTATTTGCTTGATAATTAAGATTATTAAATGAAATATTTCATTCAAAATAACCAAATCAAATTTAATTTGCAATCTCTTGGATTTACAATTATCTTGGATAATTATTAAGAAAGAATAGATTGAAAATATTGAATAAGCGATTAACACGTATTTATTAATTCTGAATTAATGAATAAAATATTTCACATGTGGTATTCGTGTAATCGTGAAAATGAATATTTTTCGAAAATGAAGCATAATGTACAATTTTGTTTTTACCATTACTTTGAATCATTTTGCTCTCCTATATAATGAAATGCGAAATAGAAAAATAAACTCAATTTTAATGTAAATTGCACAATTATTCATTGGGAATTTTCTGTAATTTTTGTAAAACTAACTTTGATAAAGTAAATAATTAAAAAAATCTATAATTTGAATCGGTTATCACGTATATTATGACGTTTTCTATTTCTTTTTTCTCTCTCTTTTTTTTGTTTTTTTTTTTGTTTTTTGTTTTTTTTTTTTTTATTACTTTCGTCTTTTTATTTTATTGACCTAAATATAGAATTTTAATTTAAACTATTTTAGAACAATTATACCATTAATTGTATAATTTTTAGATCTATAAAAAGCATCGTAGATATATGATTGAGGCCGAAAATTTCGAACCCTATACATTTTTTTTAAACTTACAATTTCATATATAATTTCGTAAAGAGTTGAAAAGGAAAAATTTAATACCTATTGGAGATTATCGAATATGCTTCACATTTGAATTAGAATACTTAATAGATTTAATTAGGGCTTTATATTTGCTTTTATTTCATATGGGTTCGTTGCATAAAGCATAACAATGTGTGTATTGTTGCAGTCATATTGATTAATTTTTATTACAATTTTTGTAATGGTAATTCGAACCTGTCCACTGCCACGGACGATACGAAGCTAATATAAGACTTAATGAATAAAATCGTAAATTCGTAAATATAAAAGCATGCTTAATCATATAAAATTATATAAAATCTCGATAATGTGAGTAATAATATTTTTTTTTTTTTTTTTTTTTTTTTTACTTCACAGAAAATTAATTTTTCTTCCTTATTTTTAGACGATCGTTTATTTGCAAATAATGTTACAAATGTTTTTTTTTTTATTTTCTAATAACCTTGTATTAGAAATTAATCATAAATAATGTATTGATGTTATTAAAGGTATTTAATTTTAGG